AAAAAAAAAAAAAAAAGAACTAACTAAAACTAAATTTGTATGCATTTTAGAATTTGCATGTCAACATTTTACCTAACATAAACATGAAATTTATAATAAAATTATCATAACTTAAAGAATTTACCTATCAGAACATTTTATCGCAAAATTCAAATATTACAAACTAGATCATTTTTAAAGAAAATACCAAAAAAAAAAAATCAAATATATTGAAACTATATGCATTCATTAATTATTTTTTATATATATTTTTATACCAAAAAATATATTTGTAATGTTTTGACCTTGTGTTCTTCGACGGATGACTGTTCAAAATATTCCATTTTAACTAATTTTGAAATGAAATATATTTTGATTAAAGTACTAAATAAATTGGGTATTTATTTCACAATTCTTAAATTATGCTAAATGGTACTTATAACAAGATATTATTTAAATGAATTATTATTGAAGTAAATTATACCACATCAACTATTTATAAATCATCTCTAATAACTATTTACAAAGGCAACTTGTCACAATTGATTATAATAGTAAATAGCGTGGTAACCAAAACCAAGTTTTTGATTTACTAACAAAAATTCGTCATCGGGAGGTTTTTTTAAAAGTTATTCATCACTTATTGTATTGACCCTGTCTAAATAATATTTATTGTAAGACACGTGTTAATACAATATTGGTGAATAAGTGTGGATGGCAGGCTCCATAAGTCGAGCCATGCGATGGCTCCGTAACTAAACTGGATTTACTAATTTGTATTTTCAATAAAAATTATGATTTTGGATATTTTATAGATACAAATCGTAGGATCCAAACATTCCCTATATGATATGAGATATTAAAGAAATTTAGATGAATTAATTGAGTATCTTTTCATATTTTTCTCAATGAAGTTTGGAAATCACTATCATCTATGCTAATATATGGAGTTGTTTCAACAAAAATTCTATGGACCCATTGGATGATTTTCTTATGGAGTCATCCATGACTTAGTGTATTGACGTTTGTCCAAAGTGCATTTATTGTAGGACATGTGTCAATACACTATTTGTGAATATCTGTAGATGGCTCCATAAGCCGAGCCATCCGATGACTCGATAACAAAACTGATTGTTTCAATAAATAAAATTCCCTAGCTAGCTTTATAGACAAAATTGTCTTTAAAGGGTTTGATATTTAGTTGGGACCTCATATAGTGCGATTGCTACTTTCTTATTACTACAGTCCCAAACATAGAATAACAAATTATTCATCCCACATGTTGCAACCAAGCATAAATAGAAGCATTAATTTGTGGATGAAAAACACTTTCATTCATGCACAGTCCATATATTTATTTTAAAATATACAAAATAAAATGTTGAAATTTTAATTACGATAACGTGTTTCGAAATAAAAAAAAAATAGCTATTATCTCCACGAAATAAAATAAATAATAAGTAGTTTTGTTTTTCAAATATTGTAAGTGTAAAAAAATATTATTTTTTTATAATAAAATTAGATAAATAATAAAAGGGAGAAAATGTGTGTAACACCTCATTTTGAGAAAAAAATATTAAAAATTTAATTACATACACACAATTAACTGTTTCAAATTAAAAAAAAAAAAATTGAATTTTATCTCCACGAAATAAAATAAATAATAAGTAGTATAACTTTTTAAATGTTCAAAGTGTAGTTACAAAAAATAAAATATTAAATTTTTTAATAATAAAGAAATTAATAATAAAATTGAAAAAATGTGTGTAACACCTAATATTGAGAAAAAAATAATAAAATTTTAATTACATGCATTAAATTGTTGTTTCGAATGAAAAGATTGGTAATAAAATTTTAATTGCAACATATAGACTAATTATTTCGAATTTAAAAAGATTATTTTCATCTAAGAAATAAAATAAATAATATTGGTAGCCGTTTTTCATTTTTTAGTCGTTTGGCTGATGAGGTATCCTGTTAGACAGACTTTATAGATGATCGCCACGCCAGCATAACATAGGCTACAAAATAACGCAAATTATATGAAGACGACGTCTACATATATTAATTTTTTTCCTGTCAACAATTTTCTTTGGAGATGCTCTTACCATTTTCCTTTCCTTAATTTAAAAGTGCAAATGAAAAAGGTGATTACAATAGTAATTAGTTTTTTTTTTTTTTTACTTAAAATATAATTAGTTAGGTCAAGTGCACACCGCAAACGTAGTGGGCGCGTGCAGGTTACCACTTTGGAACAACTTCAACTGCGGGTGGGCCTTACCTATCCACGTGGACCACTCTTTCTAGAAGGTTAGAAACCCAACGATTGAACTGAAAAGGATTTGCATACGTACAAGTGACAAAATGTGATGGGTCACGCGTTTCTAATTTATTCTCAGTCCACTCGTTTGGGCAACTTGACTTGTGTTCATACAGTACTAAATTAACATTTTATATCGAAAATGCTAAGGTCTCGTTTTTGAATTATTTCATCGATATTTATAACTGTTAGATCAATTATTTTTGACGATTTACACGATGATCTAACGGTTATAAACCCGACAAAATAGTTACATAACCTTAGCAACTTCCGTAATTATTACATATTTCATTTATTACATATTTTCACTACTTTATTCACAAACATTTTATATTCAATTATTACGCAATATTTTACAATATAAGTATTAACAGTAGTTAAAAAAAAAAAAGGAAGTGTATTTTTACAACTTTTTTTTCCTTTTTCCTCAAATTGAATTAATCTCAATTTATATTTATAATGATGATTAATTACACCTTTAGACCAAAGCTTATTCAAGATTCTCATCATAAACCCCAAGCTGATGATAGTTTGAATAATCAATTTCATTCAACCTTACACAACACAAAAGGTGCTCTGGCAACTCTTCAGCCCTATTGCCCTGTCAAAAATATAATCACAACAAAGGTACAAATAAATATATTTTTTATTTTTATTTTTCAGCCAAGAAACATTTTATTTTATTTTATTATTTTTGTATGCATCAGAAATTATATATAATACAGAAAAAAACTATGATTATTATTATTATTTTGTAAATGTTAATAAATGATACTTGCCTGAATCGTTAATCCGAAATCCAGAACACACAGCTTAAGTCTGTCCAGGAATGTTTCGAACCCCTTTCTCGAAATGTAGCTGAACCTGTGCATGTCCAAGTCGATTTCGAAATAATTCTCGCCCTGCAAGAAAACGAAATTAAAAAAAATTAAAAAAAATCATTTATTCATTTCACAATTTCAATTGGTCGATAAGGCTCTACATCAAACTACACGTCTGATTACTGTATGAAAATTTACAAGTTTTCGGGCTTACAGAATAAAATTCGTGCTGAGGGCGCGAAAGAACGGGCTTTTCATTGTATGCGTGCATGAGCTTTCGTTCGGCCCCACTCATCGGAAGGTCTTCCACATTCGCCACACGGCCCAATATTTTCAATCTTTCTCGGAAGGGAACAATTGTTTCCGAGCGAAAGCCTTTGACCTTTTCTACTTCATCGTCAATTAACCTCTGTTATCCAAACCATACACGAATTATTACTACATCAATTCTGAATCACAAAAATAATTGCACAAATGCATTTTACTACATCAATTCTGAATCACAAAAATAATTGCAAAAATGCATTTTTAGTTCTGTTTGTTTTAACGTCATAGCAATTTTAGTCTAAGAGATTCCAATTTTTTGCCTTTTCGTTATGTGATTTAATATTTTGCTGCAATTTTAGTCCATTGAAGTATTTAGTAATAATAATACTAATCAATTATCAATTCACACAAAGATTTATGAAAGTTAGATAATTATAAACATTAATCTAGAATTTTATTTTTTCAAGGTATGTATTCTGAAAATAATATCATTTTTTTTTTTTATTTTTATGTCATTAACCGGTTATCTTTTTTAACATCTAATTAATTCTTATGGTAGTGAACTCTTAATCACATAAAAGAACTGTTATAATAAGAATAATAATTTTCATATTTTTTAGCTAATTTATTGGTCCTTGGGTCGCTACGGAAACAGCATACAAGGGTAAGGTCTGCGTACAACTGAGCCCCCAGACCCCAACCAGTTGGGAATATATTGAGTATGTTGTTGTTGTTGTAGCTAATTTATTGGTCATGATTTCTTAAATTTTTAAAAGATTACATTATTCATTACATTTTACACAATCTATATAGTGGTTTAAAAGGTGAATTCAAAATTTATGTGCTTTTGGTCTTGTTATTTAATATTTTGTTGCAATTTCAGTCATTTTTTTTTAAATTACAGGACTGGAATTGCAACAAAGTTTTAAATTACAGGACTTAGTTGCTAATCGAAAATGTGGAAATTTGGTGCAATTTCATTCTTTTTTAGGACTGAAATTGCAGCAAAATATTATATCACAAGATCGAAAAGCAAAATGTTGGAACCTTTGGACTAAAATTACTACGACATTAAACAAGCAAGACTAAAATTGCAATTTGCCTAATATGCGTTAAATTAGCTCGTAAATTGTCATACCCGAATATTATCTTGAAAATGGGGTGGAAGGTCTTTGGCAAAGCTTTCAGAAAGTTTAAAATATAAAACAAAGCTGATTCCTTCACCATCTGTTTCACCTTGAAAAATTGCAGCAGGATACAATGGTATCTGAAAAAAAAAAAAAAATTGAAAAAAAAACCCAAGTCAATACTCAAGATAAAGGAGAAAAAAAATTAAATTAATTGTAATAATTATTAAACTAACAAAGGGTTATGCTTCAGTGTGTGCAATACCTGAACATTTACGACGAGGATAGGTGGAAGCTTCCCAGAAGAATTTACAAAGGGAAGTTCAATAAATCGAGCAATGTGATTTAACTTTCTCTGAGATAAAAACACGTCGAGACCGAATGGATAATACGCAGCACAATTCGGAGAAAGCTCTTTTTTCTTATCCCTAAAGACACAAAGAATATGATATTATTATTGGTTTTCATATTGCATGGCCAAAGTACTAAACTGATATATAAAGGTTTTTGTCCACACAAGTTTGAGGTAACGATTTTTTTTTTTAACCTGAAATAACTAACTCCTCTGACTCGGAAAGTCCCTGGCTCGATTGCTGACCAACTGTCGGGAACTCTTTTACCTAAGGGACAAAAGGGAACTTGTGACCCTGCTATTGGCCTTTGTAGAAACTTCTTCGAAGAAACTGCAACGTGTAAAGGGAGTACATATTTAGATAGTGATCTTAAAAACGGAAAGAAAATATATTGGAAAATGGAAAAAAAGAAAGCAATGAAATATAGGCTAAACTGCATTTTCAGTCCCGCTTCATTTTCTGTCCTGCTGGTTTAAAATAATTACAATTTTAGCCCCAAGATTCTAACATTTCGTCTTTTAGTCCTATGATTTACTATTTTGTTGCAATTTAAGTCTTTTGAAATTGCAACAAATTCCCAAACTTACATCTAGTTATTAGCAATTTATGTCTTGTAATTTAGAATTTTGTTGCGTTTGAGTCCTCAAAGGGCGGTAATTGCAGCAAAATATTGAACCAAAAATTGCGGTTAAACCAAGTTAAACCAACTACAAGACTAAAAATGCATTTTTGCCTAAAATATATTCTTACGTAAGGCGGACGTGGGGTGCCCCTCCTTCCATTTAAATGGTATTTTCGAGGCCGCTTTTTTCCTCACATTTGTCGGGCTCGAGCTAAAAGACCGTCTCTTTTCGACCGCACCACCGTTATTAACAGCCAAAGCAAGGCAAGGCAAGCAATTGCTCGGGATAATTCCACAATTTTCCAATAAGCTATCGTCATCATGTGTTGATGCTTCTCCGTGTGGGCCCGAGCCCAAGATCTCATCAGCGTAAACGGGCTTTGGCCCGATAAGCGAGTTGTTATGAGGAAAAATGCCTTTTGCGTGAGTGGAATTGCGTGCAGAGGCTACGGCACTCAAAGGTTCAGTGTGCTCTTCGGAGGCAGAGCCGCTTAGAGAGAGAACATCTGCATATGAAATAAAAATAAGAGGTTAGCAGATAAGTTGCTAAAAAAGATGAACCTGAAAGCCAAAGCAAAAATTCGAACGGGTTAAAACAGAGAGTTTATGGTGGATAAGTTGCTAAAAGTGCCTTTTTTCCATGAAATTCAAATCATGAGCAAAAATCATCTGCCCTTCTTTCAAAATTCATACAAAGTTACTTTTTTTTCTTTCTTTTTTTTGTTAGGGAGAAGCTAGCAATCGTTTTTATAGAGAAAAATTATTGCAATATACCATCGGGAATACTTTGGTAATCTTCATCACTCCAATCCGAATCAAGGATAGCAGCAGAATCGAACCATGCCTCCTCGACACTACCTACAATTGCCCAAAAAACAAGGAGAAAAAAGCAAAAGAACAGACTAAGAGAAAGAAATGAACTAAGCAGAGTAAATAAATCAGTGTAATTTCAGAACTTAAACGGCACATTCGAAGGCTTGGAAGCAAAAGTGTGTTCACTGTCGATATTCATCATTCCACCAACAAAACTAATAAAATTTTGAAAACAGCTCTTAACTTCAATCTCACCAAATTCTAGACTTAAAAAAAAAAAAAAAAAAAACGAATATGGAGTATGGTCTTAATCATCAACCTAAGAAGTAGCTCAACAATCATAAGTAGCTACAAATTCAAAGATGATCAAACTTCCTAAAAGGCCCCTGCACCAACCAGCTAAAAAAAAAATACTCTAATTACATCATTTAACAGGAAGATAGATAAAAGTGGTCCATAAATATAGTTTCTTTTTATTAATGAAAGGAAGTAAGTACCTCAATGGAGCAATGTTTAACACTTTGAAGCTTTCTAGTTTATATAGAACTAGTATTAATACTCATGTTCAACATGGGTGTTGAGTTAATGAATATATGTGTAAAGTTATTTATGTCTAATACCAAACCTAACTCCAGAGCAAAAATAATATAAAAACAACATCACGAAGCATAGATTTTCGCCATGTCAGCATTCGAAGCGTGAGAATCTGGCACCTAGGCTCAACACGTTTTGAATTAATATACAGAGAGGGATTCTGGTTTACAACTGAATAAATAGACAAGCATGTCCTCAATACTCTTACAGAAACTGGAATTCTCTAAAACCTCAAAGCTACACAGACTAATATCTTACACCACAAACTCACCAAGCTGCATATGAATTCACATTACATTAAACCCCATAGAATTATGGTTTAAAACTGAATAAATAAAATGTAACCCCAACTCGTAAGATTACACTAATTTGAACCAGAAAACCCAACAGCCCAGCTTCCACATTTTCAAGCACAACCTATTTAAGAAAAACAATGAATAAATAACACTAAGGTAATCCAACTCTTCAGTCTTCACAACACTCAAACAATTTTCAC